CAAAATATTCTAACTCAATTTTATTATGTCTCTAATGTAGCTGTATAAGGAGAGGCATCTATATTGCCCCATTTGTTTCTGATAATGTATTTAAAATAAGTAGTAACTGGTGCGAGGAAGAAAAAAGCAAAAAAGAAGGAAGAGATCAGAGTTTCAATTGATTCTTCAAAATTTAGTTGTGCTTTTGCAATTTGGTGGTGTGCTGCTGTGTTCTCTGTATATGAGGAGTAGCACATCATATGCCGTTATTTGGATGACAAATGTTGGATCTTATTAGTCTCCTGTCAATGGGTCGGTTCCCGAATTTTGTACATAACTCTTCATTGAAATGATCCTAAAACGAGATATCGTGTCTAAAATATTTATTAACTGCAGAAATATTTTAATAGAGAATTGGCTACATTAAGATGTTGTTCTTCACTAAGCACTGGCTTCCTACTTGGACTAAAAGCCATAAATGGATGAATTATAGCAAGTTTAATGTTGTTGAAGGCCATGAGGATTTTCACATCTCATGATGATTCGGCCTCTTTAGAATCAATGGAAGTATGGAGACAACCAGTGTCTTCCTGCAGCCCCAGTGAACAATGTCTTGCCCAATCTGTTCAGAAATGAGTTATTGTAATTGCCACCATGAAAGAAGCCATGGAGAAGAGTAACTGGATGTTGCTTGATAAGTTATCTGCTCCATTGGGAGTACCTGTTGGCTCTAAACCATAATCTGTTGGTTCTGAACCAGAACCATTCTGTCCAACTGGGGTGTATGGATTTACCGGCGTCATTGTGCTGCAATTCCAAGGAAACATGCAAACATCTTTACTTTTCTTGCTTAGGAGATAATTTAAAATCTCAAATAATTTCAGATAGTTTATACCTGGGACTTGGAGGTGGCAGGGTAGGAGGTGGCTGTGCAGGGGGTGTAGTAGGGGTTGTTTTTGATGATGCATAGTGACAGCTCCCAGAGCCTGCAGCAATGAAAGGAAAAATTAGAAGCTTTGCCAACTTTTTTTGGATTAGCAGATTGAAAAGTTACTTATATGTGACGTTTAGTAGGTTAGGTGTAGTCTTCCACTTACTTGGGTCAGTATTAGTAAGTTGTGCTGTTCCCCCAAAGTCACAGCTTGTGGGAACTGGATTCTTTTGGTAGTAGTCATTGAAAGCATAGGAAGCATGGTCTTTAAGTGTGTTTGGCTCATAGCAGCTTGCACCAGACTGAATAGTTGCACAATCTGCACCTCCAAAGCCACAAGCATAGTCCAGTGCTACTTGCAAAGCAGTTGGTGAAGCACTGGGGCTGGCTATACACCAAGATCCAGTAGATGGCCCCGGATTGTTGGTCGGGTTTGGATTTGGATTTGGATTCGTATTCGGAGTTGGATTTGGGTTAGGATTCATGGGCGGGTTTGGGTTTGGATTTGTGTTTGGGCTAGGGTTAGGATTCGTGAATGGGTCAGGGTTCGTGAATGGGTCTGTGGTAGATGGCGGGGGGATATCCATCGTGGGGGGGTTCGGATTAGGATTCGGGTTTGGATTTGTTGTACCGGGGGTTGTTGGATTAATAATGGGAACATCTTGCTGGGCAGAGAACATGGAAGGTGAAATGGTAATGTCCTCTTCTTGGAATGCTAGTTTTTTGCTTTTTCTGATGGCTTTAGTGGAAGGTTTGTCCGCAAAGCTTGTACCTGAAGTAATTAATACCAAATAGGTGTCAGTTTGTTTTGTCTTTCGTTTTTTCTTTAGATTCTGCATGTTGAAAGAATGAGTAGTACATCATAAGGTTGTTTGATTCCAGATTACATTCTTGAACCAAAGAATTTGTGTTATTAGCAGTTGTTATATTATGTTCTTAGGTACATCTTCAGAAACATGGAGTTTCATAAGAACCTACTTTTTGTGTTTTCCCATCAAAAAGACAATTTTGTTATCTAAGAATGAAATTAAAATTTCTTTGATTTAAGTGCTTTTTTTTTTTCTAGGACAAAGGCAAACTCTTTTGACTAAGCTTTTCTGTTTAGAATTTGTCGTTAAAGATTCAAAACTTACAGGTGATGAAATTCGCAAATTGTCATTTAAGTAGCCTATATTTGTGCCAAAACTTGACTCATGAAAATTTTACAATGACTTGTATGTCCAAAATCCGGATTGATTAAATCATAATGCTTCAAATGGATTCATACAAACAGTTTGCTGTAAAGGTGAAAACTTAGAACAGTATATGCATGCAAAAGAATATGTTGATGGTATGCCAATGAATTTCAAATCAATGAAGTCAAATGAGCGGTACAAAATTGTACAATTCAATCAAATAAATTGATATTCCTCTCTTCCCAGCATAATCTCACGCAGTGGGAAAAACTACCTGATTAAGAGTAATTCACTATCAGATGCATAAAAAACTAGCAAGTACTATGAACAAATAAAAAAGAAAATTCAGTATAACATGAAACTTAGTAGGCGTTTGGACATAAAAATTACTAGTATTTGGAGTTAAGTTGAAAAATTATATTTGAAATTTAAATTATGTTTGGACATGCATTTCATTTGAAAAATATTGTAGTTTTGTGAGTAGGGGGGAAAATTCCGATTTTTTTTGAAAAACTCATTTTCGAAAAATCTCCAAAATCTTACAATATTTCATGGACAAACACGTTTTTGAAATAAATTTTCAGGAAAAAGAAAAAATCTATAGAGAAACGGGACCTTAATTTTTGGAATGGAAAAACCGAAAATTAGCTTCGGCAATTCATGATTGCAATTTTTTTTGTATATCGAAATATCTATAGTCCAAATTGTTAACCGAAGACTACAATATAAAAGGATCAAAAGACAACAAGTAGTAGAAGAATCACCTAAAATTTACTACTATCATTTAAAATTATATACCCTGCCAAATTATTTGGTATTGAGGTGTAGTTATTATTGTCGTATATTTCAAAACATGATAAAATAAACGGAAAAGATATTGATATTTACCTGAAAAAATAAGAAGACAAAAGAGAAAGCAGCAAGAAACTCTCATAGCTACTTCTTCAATAGATTTTCTATACTTGTTCTTCCTTCTTGTTTTCTATTGGGATGAGAATAATATAAGTAGTTTCTCAAAGAAGAGAAGTGCTAGAAACATAAGCTGTAAAGAGGAAGCAATCTTTCGTTGTTGCATGGAATGTATATATATAGTATAAGGTATGAAAAAGTTAAGGAGGGAACAGAATCCTAGCTTTCTTGCATTAGAGTACAGGTTTTTAAGTTTTTCATTGAGAGGAATATAACAAGACTTGAGAAAGGAGGCATTCGGTAGCTAGAAACTGCAAGCAATTGGAGGTGCCTAAATAGCAAAAGGTTGTCCCATTAAGGCAAAAGCCAACAAAGATAATCTTGTTTTGGATACAAATCTCAATTTGAAAACCATATAGTAATTATTGCGGTAGCAATTATATATAGAGGCGGATTCAGAATTTTAACGTGACGGGGACTTCATATTTTCCTCAATCAGTGCCCCTAAAGGCTTTTAGCATCCATGGTGCCAAGTTATTTGAAATCTCATTTTTAAGGTATATACATATACACATACAAGATTTCTGCCAATGTTTATGGGTCCGGTAATTCCTCAATACTACACATAGCTCCGCTTCTGATTGTATAGCTTAATAATTACACATCATAGTAATTTTAAAGACGTGTATACCTTAGTTATAGTTTAATTCTTAATATCATATCTGGTTATGCAAGTGATAATAATATAGTTAAGTTTTTAAAATTTTAGAAAATAAATATTAATAATCCTATAGCATTTCTATGCGAACTTTTTTCAGATGTTCTATAAAAGTGAATTCCTCAGTTCGAAATTTCAAATTTTTTGTTTCTCTCAGATATTCTTTGTTTATACTATGATTTAAATTAAGGTGGGTTGAGTTTGTGAGAATTTTCGTCCCTATTTTCTGCCCAACTTTTCCACTGTTACTAACGACTACCTCAAGAGGTAAAGCAAGAAGGAGAAGGAAAAATGGCAGATTTTTGTTATTACTACTTGCTTTACATTTTATGCTAAAAGTTCTGGGATATCTTGTCAAATTTCCCTTTGCAAATTCGACAATCTTATGAAGTGTATAGATTCAAACTGTCTAAAGAAAAGCCTATAGAAATCCCTGTGAAACAATATTACCTTTCTACCTTTTATAGTACTTAAGTGAAAACATTCTTATAATAATAATTACATTTTGATACCATACTTCATATTAGCAGCCTAATCAAGATTCCTAACACATAATAGAATCATATTTACACTTTACATAATCAAAATATTGTTGTCCACATGGCCAAAGAAAAAAGAAATACCAGAAAGGAAAAATTAAGGTAACTTCTCGACTTTATCTTTTCTGGCCCCTGCTCCTTTTCTCAGGTGTTACAAATCTTTTGGAATTTAATCATTACTTTGCTCCAAAGTATCCTTGGCCTGGAGATTCACTATTTCCGACTACAATGTAAAATAGATATAAAATCAAGGATTTAAATACACTGATAATATACAATACATGTTCAATTAACCGGCTATATGGCTATAGCAGATTACTATAAACATCTCAGGCAATGAAGTTATTTGTGGTATCACCATTTTACCAATAATCTGACCATTTTCTTTGCCATTACTCTCCACTCTCCCCTAAATGCAAGTAGTAGTCAATTCCAGAGACTAAAGATGGAGGAATCTAACACTTTATAATGCTTCATTATTTCTGCTGCAAACTTCATTTTTTGCATCTCTCCTCAATGAGTAGTAATATGTACGCCTCATTTGGTAACATGTAAGACATAGTTGTATTTTTTTATTCCAAAAACATTTACCATTTATTCAAAAAGTTCATCATAGAATCTCTCAATCCACTTTGTTACCAACTGGTGTAACACTAGTTTCATTGTTAAGACAGATAAGTGAAAAACTTTAACCCCCTTTAAGTGTCCAACTCCACCTAGGGGCATCGATGTCCTCAGTCATTCATTTAGTTCAATATGAGGCACACATTCCTTCACAAGATTTTGATTTACTCAAAAATATATATATACAATATTGCATTGTTGTACATCAGGCAAAATGCTAGTTATCTATGTACACACCTTGTGCTACTAGCATTCACTGGCTCCTGCCATCAGTAAGATTAAATACAATAACACACCTCAGCTGGTTCTTGCTGCTAATTTCATCATCCAGTGGCCGGTTCTGTACTTGATCTGATTAAAGTTGCTGATATTGATTTGATGTGTGCTTCAATATTAATGCCCAAAAATAGGAGAGTTTGCAATATGTATCCAATCTTGGTTTTTTCCTGGTGGTGCCCAGGCAAAGGGGGAAGCTAAACGGCTGTGAAGGTGAACATCTGTTAAACGCATATCAACCAAGTGTTGCACAATCATAGGACTAGCCCAAGTTCATCCATCATGGTGAGGAATCAGAATGGCACAGAAAGGAAAACGAGCAAGCTGTATGTAAACGGAAGTGCAATTATAAGAGACCATAAGCTAATAAAGAAACAAGAAGAAGAAGAAAATACGAAACTTTACCTTATCCTCCTTGTGGCTTATGACACTTTGACAGCCGATTGGTGACTTCACTCCAAGCTGCAAATATTATATAGTTTTAGGTTCAGAGAAACAATATGCTGTTAACACATGTAAATATCTTACCAGGAAAATTCCTGAAATCTGGGTCAACTCCATTTCCATTAATATCCAAGTTATTTGGTGTGACATACTTCCCGATTGTTACAACCACACCCGAGCCATCAGGCAGCTCGAACACAGACTGAATCAGCCCCTGCAATGATGCGAAGAATACAGTGATGTTGTAACTCAGAAAGAAGAACCAGAAAATCTACCCTCCCATACACCAGAACTTTGTAGCTATGGTAAAAATATATAGTTGGGTTTCAAGCTACTTCAACCTCACAGTGAAAGGCCATATACAGTGCCAACTGCACAGATCTCCTCCCAACAACTAAAATGACAAAAAGCAAATATACTTAATTCACGGTCTGAGAAATTAACTGATTACAGAGCAATATCCTTAAAATAGTCCCCTTGGGATCTGGTTACCCAAATAATGGTTTTTCTCCGTACAGTTCCTTCCCCTGACTTACTTAGGCCGTTAAATGAGCTTGTGTAATTGTATTCATCTCAGCACAACTCTTCTCCAGACAGTTGCAGCAATTTCCAGGAGCACGTCTTCCCAAATAGAGTACTGTTAAAGGAACTGCAACACAAACGCCTCAGATAGGGAACAGGAAGGAGCTGAGATCCCCGACTCAGCCACTCTCTGTTCTTAAGTAAGTGTTCCCCTCTTCAAATCAAATGAATATGTTAATTACCACCAATGCTAGTTGTTTTTCCTTTGGCTGCTAATATGCGCCAATGTGGAGGTCTATTAGTCCTGGCAACAACAAATAGTGGCACCAGACTAGCTAAGGATTCAATTAGACCCCCTTTACATAAGCAGGACTATAGAACGGGGAAACCATAAAGAAGATAGATTTTTAAGGTTGATAGTTAATGGAAAAGGCTTCAACTGGTAGACATAATTGGTTCTATCAGATGATTCAGAAAGCATTGATTATTATTCAATTGAAATGAATGATTTGATATTCTAATCTCTATAATGACTGAAATGTCAACGATCATATAATGTGAAAAGAGACAACTTCATTAGGGCTGTAGTTCGCTCATTCTAGATGAAGAACCTTTTATCTTCATCTTAGTCAGGTAAAAAATCATAACCAACGAGAGTATGCCACAGTTGACGATGAATTGTAGAGGTCGCAGAGTGGGTATGTGGGTCTTAAATGGATTGCACTAAAGGTCCTCAGAGCCCCATGCACATTAGTTATCCAACTATAATTTTGGCCTCAGGCCTATATATGTTAGCCTCATCCCCTTTCACAAATTCCCCAAGTCCGATGCATATTCGATTTATTTCTATCGTGCTTATTTTTCCAATGATAGATAATTCATGAAAGAGGAGACAAATCATGTCATGACGAGAATAAGATGCTGCAGACAGGGTAATCATGAGTCCATATCAAGCTTTTCTACTTGTTTGAGAACTGACGAATGGGATGACCAAAATGCAAGAGGGGAAATTAGGGTAAGAAAGGAGTGATGGTAAAGGTTCAGATTCAGTCAGGTCATCATACATGAGTATACACTGCACAGCATTTTGATCTTGGAAAGTTAATATACAAGAAATTCCTAAGTTATGCCTAATCATGTATCTGATTGGAAACACTTTCTTGGGGAAACAAAGAAGTCTTGTTTAGTTAATAAATGTAGCGTACCGTTGACAGAAGTTACTTTACAATTTATAAAGATGTACTTATACCATCTAGTATGCCCATAAAGAAGTTCAAATATTGAAGAGAGAGACTACGTCAATATGGATTCACGGAAGGCAAAGACAATAACTATAAATTCAGACCTTCCCATATGTCTTGTCTCCCACGAGAACAGCTCTACAGTTATCTTGAAGTGCAGTTGCAACCTGAAGAGAAATTCAGAAATTAGAACACAAATATTTCAAAATTCAAGAACTGGTGCAACAATATAGTGTGAGTAGCTCACAATTTCACTGGCACTTGCAGTTTTTTTGTTAACCAATACCTGCATTGGAAGTCACTAAGACCATCAGAGTGGTAAAGACAAATAGTAACATTTGCGAACTAGACAGAGAAAAGGCAATATTCCTAAATTTGCAACATTACCCACAGCCACTCCACGATTCTATAGTCAAGAAACCAGAAGCCATAAGCTTAAAATCAAATTGTTAGATCAGTATCAGTTGTGTATTTCATTTATCCACTTCTTTTAGCAACTTCAGCAAATTTAAGGAATCTACTCTAAGTTTGTGCAATGCAGCCACTTATGATTTCATATAATCAGGAAAACATTAGTACAAATCACCAAACTGTTACATATGAATAGCTGCTTTTCATTTATCCACTGCTCTTACCAACTTCACCAAATTTAAGGCATCAAATGTTAAATTTTGAGACAGCTTAAAGCAAAGACCCAAGCTAATGCTGAGGCATGAGATATAAGAGGATTAGAAGTCGATATCTAACACTTCTTTAGACTTATATGGTAAAACTGCAAACTTTGAATATTTAAGTGGTCAATTTACTTTAAAGAAAATTAGAAACAAACTTCTACTTGCATCTACAATCCACTTTACCTTAAAAGCTCAAAGGTTTTCGTGCAAAGTCTGCTTCATATTTGACAGTGAATGGTAGGTTCCAAGTTTCTCATTCAGGACAATACTAATGCAATTGTTCATTTCAAAAATAACAAAGAGAAAAACCTGCAATTTAAGAAAGTTTTGAAGGATTCTTCTATTTTACAGATGATGTCATTGATGTGGCTCTTATATAATGAAAATTGCAAATTTCATTCATGAAGAGTATCTTACAATTACTGGAGCTGTAATAAGAGGTGGAGCTTCTGCAACAATATTCCTTCTATACTGTGGATCCCTTCCAACAGTGGAAATCACCTGCAAATACATATATATCGTAGAATAAAAGCTTCTTACTGAACGGTAAGTATTTAAAGCTGATAATTCAAGCATATCCATATCGCACAACAGCTAATGTTCCATATAGAAGACGAGAACTATGGTGTACCGTGTCTCCTTCATTCAGAAAAAGTTTCGCAATTTCAATGCCAGCCTGAAAGGAGAAACGTTGCCACTTTATATGCAAATAAACTGTCAAACTCATAGACCAAATCAAACAAGGGGTAAAGGAAAACCTGCACTAGTCCACCTAGGTTATCTCTGAGATCAAGAACAAAAGATGAGGCACCCATGCCTTCAAGTCGCTTAATTGCTGCAGAAAAAGATGCTTTTTTTCAATTGCTGAAACTGAAAGAGTTCAGACCATGTCTCAGGTGCGAGATATCCAGAATGGACAAAACTTTTCTGGATAATACTTTCAATTCTTAACAAGTTAGGCCATACAGTCTAAATGCCAACAACACAAACTTTATTCCAGAATACAATAGCACACAATCTCCTGTCATTTCATCAGCTATTCAGGTCTTGACGAATCAAGGATTTATGATTCTAACATGTAATGCAGTTCAAACAAAGATGCCCAATGATTGGAAGATGCTGAAAGCTCCACAATGCAATTATAGTCATCACAGAGTTCTTTCAACTTGTTCTTCAAGACATGCAAAACCCTCTTACTGAGATATGTATGTATTAAATTTTGTGCTTAAACTTGACTTCTGCTTTACTAGCTTTCAGCTTATCTGACAGAGCCATTAGGTACATAAAACCCTCTAGTGAAACAAAGCTGGACTTCATTTCATATTTATATCCTCCATTTTAATGTTTACTTCTGGCATCAGCATCTTCGCATCTGCCATCCCCCGTTATTCAAGTGATAGTTGTCCACTTACTGTTACACTCTTAACAAGAAAGTTTTGGTAAAAAGCAGAAAACCTTTAATTTCTTACATGAAGTTCTTTAGTAGCGCTTAAACTAGTAACATTCTCTTTCAGTTATTGTGCTCAACAGAGGGTTGCATATAGAACAGATATTTACCAGTAACCAAATCTTTTCTGGCCAATGCATTGAACTCCTTTAGGCGCACATAACCAACAGAAACAGAACCACTTTCAATCTGCTCCAGACGATAAAAAACCGGCGTCTTAGCAATGGACTGCCTCTCCACATCAATGGATTGAACAGGTCCACAATTCCCATGCTTGACCTGCAATTATATCATGAGAACCAGCATGAAGATATCATCGAACAGTAGACCTATTGAGGTCCGGCAATGTATGGAAACACAACCATGATGTTCACAAATGTCCCACTTGGACCAAGTAACAGCGAAGATGCTTCAAAGGCAGATTTATCCCGCATATTCACCCCATTCACTGACACTAGTTCATCTCCCTGCCACGAGGTCACATGAAAGATACACGTTAACTTTTGTCAACTGAATGGTAAATCAAACTAGAGAAGGGAAAATTGTAGAGAGAATGTAACGAAGTAGGGATACATTCAATGACTAAATCAAATGGAATAAACAAAATAAATTACAGAGGGATGAGTCTGATTCTGATTCTAGCTAGAGTCTCATACATGGGCATTATCTTTCTTATAAACATGAAAGACAAAATCAAACTCATTAGACCTGTAACTAACTCTTAATATGTGCAAAATCGATACGAATAACCGAAGAGCTTCCAACCAACTCTTCAGTAGGTGAGATATAGTATTTTTATAGGCCAAATAGAACACTTCTTATTAACTCTTTGAAAGACCATTGCGAAGGGAAAGGTCCACTAGATTAGGGAACTTCCATCTCTTTGCATGCTAGCTTTTTTAGAACATTAACGATTTAAAGAACTAAAAGAGATTATCAACAGCATGAAAGAATTCATTGAGCACTGCAATAGCAGAGCAGGAGATTTTCCTTCCTCGCAAGGGCCAAATTCACTATTCCTCATCTGCCATGGTTTAGTCGATAGCAAAAGATAATCTGGTGATTAAGAAGGGATAATACAAAGAGGAGGTGCTGCCCTCAACCCCCAAGATCATATGAAAAGGATACATAAGAAAGTTTCTTTTCTCACAAAAAAAGATAAAGATACATGAGAAAGCATAAGGATATATAACAAAGTATTAAACTTCACAAATCTCAAGCAAATAATTGAAAACAAATGACATTAAAGCCTGATAGCCATCAGAAGCTCGAAAAGGCACCTTACCCACGACAACCTCCGGATAGGTATAGGTCTAGTAAATTTCTAGAATTATGTGCTAATTTTTTATTTTTTATTTTATTTTTTGCAAGGTAAAACTTAGTATTATGTGCTATTGACTATACCTATTGCAGCCAGAATAGCACATCTTCACGCACTTAAAAATCACGAGGCATCATGCAGTACAAGACACCAAATAAACTAACAAGCAAGGCCCCAAGCACATGTTGTGAGAAGGACTGAAGACCTTGAAGGAAAGCATATTGAATCAGAGGCTACTAGTTTGGCAGTTCAAAGCTTCTCTCTCCTTATTCAATTGTTTTAATAAATAAACTATGAAAAATTCGTTGCAGTGAGTGGCATCATCAAGTAATCATGACTATAATTCAGAGAGATTTAGCATTTCATCAACTACTTGTCCAATGGGGGGAAAAAGAACATCAGCGCAAAAGTTGCAAATGCTTTTGTAGTAAGCAGACCGTATACGACATACCTGTCGTACACCAGCGCTATGGGCAGGGCCATCCAATAGGAGCCCTAAAACCTTCAGTTTTGAACCTCCATTGCCATCGGGAACATCCCTGAGGTTAACTCCAATCCCAGTCATATCATATCTAGCCATCTTGGAGAACTTTCAATGACAAGCAGTACATGTCATGGAACAAGGACACTGAAAGGTTTGTGAGTAAAAGGTTTTATTTGAATAAGGAAAATGCAAGGCAGATTTAGAAAGAAGGAATGGAGAGAAATCATCTATCTCATGATTTACCATACGATAACCACGCTTGACTGAGAAGATGATTGAAAGCCGAAAAATACTAAAAATCGTATCTAACATACGGTTTCCTCCAATAAAATGGAAGGACGACATAAGGAAGGAAAACTAACAAAATGAACTATGCGTACACAATCAGGACAATTATACTAACATATATTGGTATCACAAAAAAAAAGCGTGGACAGAATGTAAAGGAACTTAAAATAGTTTGATGCCCTAATGCTAACAATGAAGTGTCAAACCTCTTCCAAACTTCACTGATAAATACCTTTCAACCTCTAAACGGAAGTATATATCCAGTGTACTTAAAGCTTTGTAATAGCGAACTCGGAAATATGATTTTTGTGCCATATAACTATCCAAACCAAAAAAGTTATTGTATTCCCATGTGTTAGTCTTCCATCCTTCCACAACAAATTGAATGCCAGTTTTAACATACAGGTCAAAAAGTCGATCATCAACTAACACAGATGCAAATATAGGTGTAAAGAGGACTTGTTATATACCTCTTCAGGAGAAAGAAAACGTGTATAGGGGTCACCCAAGCTAGCCAACATCCGCTTGATAATATCATGAGCTTTCGACCTTGTCTGAATTGATGAACTTAAGATGTCATCTTTCTTTTTCTGGAAGTAACAAAATATTTAGTCATGGATTGATATGCAAGAGAAACCCTTTATCTCAAAAGGATAGATAGAGAGAAAAAAGTATACTTACAAGCCAAGATTCAGGAGACCAAGAACGAGGGCTGGTGTTAAGAAAGCTGTCGTTCACAATCTGCCAAGCCTCTTCCACAATCCTTTCATTGCTCACCGCTTTTGATACTTCAGTAGTGTACACCTCCTCCACCTCGTTCTCGGGGCAATTTACTGAGTTAGAAGATTCAAGTACTGAAGGAGATTCCAAGGCAAAGATGGAATTAGGAGCAGAAACAAGAAGCCCCAAAGATAGAACTAATGAGATCCCAGTTGATAGAGCTTGTTGAAGGGGTTTCTGTGCATAGTTGACAGAAGCTTTTTTGGGAAGAATTGAGGTTTTGCGCGGTGCAGAGGAGGTTAACAGTGGTGGAGGTAAGGGGCTGTGGAGGAGCCTCATCTTCAGACTGAAGAAGTGATCTTTTCTTTACACGAACTATCGCAGTTTTGACACTTCTTGTAATAGTACACTTATTAACCAACTTGGGGCGTTGTTACAGTTACGTTTACTATGAATACCACCCTTAAATCTTAAGTAATAGTCTTTAGTCTATATCTAACCTTTAAGGGTTCGTTTGGTTGGAATACATCTAACGTCGGTATAAGTTATGTTGGGATAAGTTATGCTGGGATTAGTTATGCTGGGATTATTGTTTATTCACTGTTTGGTATGTTGTATTAAGAATGACAATTACATAATTTCTAAGAAAGTATAAGTTATACCGGTGCTAATTACCTCATCCTCTATAAGATATAAGTTATCCTGGTGTTAAAATTAACATCGGGATAACTTATATCTGGTCTGCTAACCAAACAGAATATTAAGGTGGTATTAAATTTTTAAATCACCCATATACCTTCTTATACCTTATAACAAAAGATCCCTAAAAGTTATCCGGTATTAACTAATAATGCAAATCAAACATAAACATAAGATAAGGTTAATCCCAAACTTTATCCCGAAATTATTATCCTTATCGGATACTTAGAGAGGGAGCTCCTGTGAAGAGTTAGGGGTCGTTTGGTAGGAGATATTAGAAAAAATAATGCAAGCATTAGCTCTATGCATTACTAATATCTTGTTTAGTACCTTTTTCAACTTGTATTAGTTATACATCATACTTGGCACTATCCTATGCATAAGTAATGTATAGAAAACCATGGCATTAGTAATACCAAGGCTTTAATGCATGCATTAGCATGGTTAAAGGCAAAATTGTCCTTAAAGTCTCTTAAAGCTAAAGAATATGGAGGACATTTTTGTAAGCAACTATTTTTAAAAAAAATTATGCAATGCATTATAATTTTAATACACTACACCAAACAATAGATAAGAAATAATATTTGCATAACTAATATTTGCTTTACTAATACATGCATTACTAATACACATTATTCCGCAATATTCTTATACACCCTACCAAACGACCTCTTAAAGACTATGGAGAGTACGTTGTATTTGATAATTTGATGGTCACTAAACGAATCTTAAAGTTCTATTCCAAATTTAAGGACGGCTATTAAACTATAGTTTAGTGACTTGTGATGCCCAAGAAACAATAAAACACACTATAACCCATGCATAATTTATGTTTTAAAAGGTTGAATTGGGACTCGTCCAGGTCTCGTCTTGGGGCAGAGCACTCGTAAAACGTCCCTGGGCTTATATCTGGGGTTTAGTTCCGTGAAACTTATGTCTTGATCTTCGGGGCTTATGCCCCGGACATGCCCAACGCCAGTGTACTGGGTTCGCCTAATAGAACTTTATGCAATTGAGCGTAACTAATCTTGTAAATGCTCAAGTTTTCTTAATAAACCATTGACTATTCAAAATTACTTTTTTCTTAATTATACATCATTAAGTTGAGAGTATTTTATATCATAATTAAAATAAAAATAATTGCACGTTATCCACAAAGACTGCCATGATAGTAAATTTTAAATAAATCTTTCATTTAAAAAGTTTTTATTTATTAAATTTTATTATGTCTTTATTATATATATATATATATAATAGTCCATATTTTTTATCTTATAATTATTTTCCTAAATACTTTTTTCACGTTTACGAGATACAATACTTATTAATTTAATATATCAGTATCAGCTAATAACTATTTACAAATAATTAGTTATCATAGTATAGTATGGTGAATTATGTGTCACTTTATTAACTTGTTGAAACTTAAAAATAAATGATGCTAGAGAATCATATTTTTAAATTGAGAATCATGTTTTATATAAATTTTCTTTCAAATAGAAAGAATATTAAATAAAAGGAGTATTTTAAAAAAATATATCAAATTATAATATCGAAATTCTTTCAATATCCATTACTCCTTAAGAGATACATATAAAATTTCGCATCCAATACATTACTTTTGATGTTTGAGTTGTAACGACATTGCAGCTAATTTGCATATTATGATATATGTCATACTTTTTGTACTATTCATAGTTGAATTATAATTTATAAATATTATAAATAGATTGTTTGTTATAATTTTGCGATTTTAATATAATTATTTTTTATTTTATACTATCTTAAAATTCTTGAAATTAGTAAAATTAAAGATCCGTGGGACTTACGCCCCATGTCTCATGGCTTACGCCTTGCCTCGTAGAGATAAAACGCCCCGCCTTTTAAAATATTGTGCATAATATGTGTACAACTATATCTAATCAGTATGTAATTAATATAAGCCAACTAGAAATTAAGGGATTGTTAACCGACCATATTTATTGTTTGCCTTTTCTAGCCGATGTATATATATATATATATATATATATATATTAGACATTGATTATACATAGTTATACACATAGTATACATGAATTTTATATATATTATACATTCGCCGGCTATTTTTAGTTTAAAAGATTAGGTGAACGCTTATTTAGGTTAATTCTTCAGAAAAAATAAATAGTAAACTCGATCGACTATCCATGTAAAGATCTCAAAAAAAAATCTTTGGGCGTCTTTGCTCGATTTACAAGTTACACATTTGACCGGTTAGTCAAAAATAGTTACAACCACTAGTCAATATATATATATNTAAAAAGCATAGTATCTTTTTTCACTAGAGCGGCTATACTGTAACATTGTGATAGGCCCATTGTAGATTTTAGACTCTGGTCAAATCTTAGAGCCCAAAACGGAAAGTTTTCTTACTAATGGCCCATTAAAGAAAAGCCTTTTTCCCAGCACGTCATCTGCTGTAAGGAAAGCTGCGTGCGAAGTTGGAAATTTGGACCAACCAATCAATGACTTTTATTATTAAAAGTTTTTATGGATAAACATCTTTTGGTAATTGAATTCCGATACTTTCATCGTTGAGCGAGTGAACTACACACAATGTAATCGAACGTGCTCAAAACTCATAAGTGGGCCCACTTCCAATAATCTTTCTATCACTTGCTCCACCGGCGCGTGATGTCTCTTTTGCAGGAATCGGAATTTAGTTAAATATCCATTACGCGGCTATATTGTTGCACCTGTAATCTATGAAGTTATTCATAAATTTTCATGTAAATTGTAGTTCTCACCAAATTATTTTCTTCTTTTTTAGTTTTTGAGTATCTCCTTTCCTAGAAATATTTAAAGAAAAAGATTCTGTATTTGTCCTACTTTAGGTATTAATTAGTAATAATTTGATCTAATATATATTTAAAGTAAGCACCACAAAATATCGTTTTGCTAATAAATATTAAAAGACGTGAAAAAATCTTCGTATAAATTATGAAATAATATAAAAGCATTTAATTTGGGAACGAATGAATACTAATTTATTTCTTGTTTCTTTTCGGATTTATGAATGTTAATTATTTTATTTTCTATTTTTCATTAAAAAAATTGCACAAAAAAATTCATAAGGCCAACACAAAAAGAGTAAAATTTTGAGGAATCTTTTGTAGTGCATTGGTTGGCTATCTAAAATTTCACTTTACATGTGAGGGTTAATTATACAGCATGTAATACCCTTCTCCTTTTTTTTTCTTCTTCTAAAAGAGTAAATTTTAAACTATACTATTAAGATGAGACAAGAGAGCTTGTAATTTCTTTTCACATTATACTAATTATAAAAGGGCACAAATTTTTATTTTAAATTTTGTGGCCTTCTTGTACATAATAGATTTTGCACGATAATAAGATGATTTCACAATTTTAAAAATTATATTTAATTAGTTGTTCATATTTACTCAAATGTAATAAAAGCTCACATATTCAATATAACTTGATTAATTATATATTCATCCCTACATCGTAAAAAGTATAAGAAATAGAAAAGACGGACTATGTTTTAACATAAGAGGCTTTATGAATTTCAATTTCAAGCCTAGTCCTTTCCCTCAAACAAAACTTTGTACTTGAATCATGTAAAAAAATAAAAATACTACGCACTAGTAAAAAAAATTCTCCAAAAAAGTTAAAAAAAGAAATCCTCCCACTCAGTACAAAGTCAAACAAGAATATTTTTCTGAAGCAGTTATAAAAGTACTGATTATTCTATCGTAGTAAAACTTCCAAAACCACAATCTCGAAGACAAACAAAAAAAGAAAAAGAGGAAAGGAAGCAAAAATTAGAAGAAGCATAGACAGATACAAAAAAGAGATAACTTTTATTTATTAGGGCAGGGAGAAAAGAAAGAAAAAGGTAAAGAGAGGGTTTTCCCAAAAAAAAAAAAAGAAGAAGAGGATTTTAGGAAAAACACATTTATTTACAACTATATTAGTATTAAAGGAGTAAGAAGCCCACAATAGAGAAATCCCAAACCCACAGAGAGAAGAGAGAAAGCAGCAAAAACCCCTTCACTGTGTGTGTGCGTGTTTTTTCGAAGATACATATCTCTATAGTCTATACACAAAGTGAGAGAGACCCAAAAACCTAACTTTAATAGATCTGAAAGAGGAATATACAGTGGGTGTTTGTTGTTTTCTTCTCTCTTTTTTCACAGAAAAAGAGTTGTAACTCTTAGAAAAGATGAGTAGCAGAGGAGGCAATGGTGGAGTTGGGGTACAAGCGATACCAGCAGGGTCAAGGAAGGTGGTACAAAGCTTAAAGGAGATAGTTAACTGTCCTGAGCCTGAGATCTATGCTATGCTCAAAGAATGTAATATGGACCCTAATGAAGCCGTCAATAGGCTTCTTACTCAAGGTCTTTACCGTAAACCCTAAAAAGATCTTTCTTTTCTTATTTAAAAGAAGAATCTTTTTCTGGGTGTTGTTAGTTTTAGATATTATTGCTGGGGTTTTAGGGTTTTTGTGTTTCTCAAAAGTTTGGGAAGATTTTGGATTTCTTAATTTTGTGATAAGGTTACTTCCTTTATTGGTAAGACCTAAGATAATAGGTTTTTTTTTCCCGCTGATGTTTTGTTTCTTTACTTTTTTGCTGATACTGGGTGTTAGAAATTGTGAGTTTTTTAGGAGTAGGAACAAGAAAAGAATAATTGGCTTTTGTGT